TCTATAAAAGTGACGGGCTCGGGAGGGGAGAATCTTGCAAATGATTTGTTGCTTCATTTTCAGGTTTAGAAAAGGTGCTTTTCTTCCCCACGAAAGCTTATGCTCCCAGTACTTCTGTTAGTCTCAAAGGTGCCACAGGACCCTCTGTTGCTTCGTATAGGACAGTGACTTGGTTCCAAGACTGATCTTTGATGCCGTCTGGAATAGGGACCAACAACAAAGCCAGAGCAGTCTGGGGGCGGGGAGAAATATCGCACACAGCCCAACAAACCTTATTGCTTGGAGGGAAACCAAACCATACCTGTTCGGCTTGTCAATGAAAGGATAGTGGGTCGTACTCAACATCACACTCAGATTACACTCAATCCTGCTGACAATCTTTTAGACCATAGAAACCAACGCTGGCTGACGGGTGGGTTAGGGAGTTGCGCATTCACATCGGGTCTTTCCCAACAGTTCCAGTGTAGGAGATGCATATTCTCATAGTTAGATATGCTCGCTGATTATTTTTTTTTTAAAGAAAATGATGAGTGATCAGGTCAAGTCCCGGAACCACCAGCTCGGATGAACACTAGAGAGTCTATGAGGTTAACCAACATGGACGCTTTTTGAACTTTAAAAGAAAGAAAGAGCTTGCTCCCTCAGAAGCAGTCTTTTCTTTTTCATGCGTCGGTTCTGGAACCAGATCTTCACCTGCTGATCACTCAGGTTTAATCGGTCTGAGAGCTCCCTCCTTCTTTGGCGGGTAATGAATTCGTTGACCATAAACTCCCCTTCCAGCTCTGCTAGCTGAAGCTTGGAATAGGGTTTTCGCTTTTTCCGGGACCTTGTATGCATCGGGTACCACGGAGCACCTAAGGACGTGTGATTGAAAGGAGAATTTAATACACCTGAAGAAACAAAGTCGGCTTCCAAGATAGGATCTTTCCCCCACTTCCCTGCCCCTCGTCTGCATTCACAGTTTGTAACGCTCACCTCATAGCAACATCAGAGGGCATAAGGCAGAGGTGTCTCACACAAGAGAGATTCATAAATCTTGGTCTGCAATACTTGATAGATCAGACTGATACATAGATAGACACATAGAACTATTTCTTACTTAGGGTTGATATATAGCTCTATATATTAGATACAGGTATGTATTTCAGATCGCCCCATAACTCTACGTATTGGGTGCACGGTATTTAACTAAGAGTTATTTCTTTTATCTGATTGGTATATTGTATACATCGATGTATTTCTTATATACAAAACTGATACATAGATCTGTGTGAGAGACACATATTGTTAACTTTTGCACACAATACTGCTACATGGATCTATATTTTAGTTACAAGCCTGATGAACAGACCTAAATCGCACATGGTTCTACGTTTTGGATACATGGTAGATCAAGAAGCAACCTACGATATGGAAATCAGCTAAACTTTGTTGAAACTGCTTCATTGCAGAAGATTATATGCATAATGGAAGGCATCATTATAGGTATTTTTATGGCGCCTCGATGCCGCGGGGGGTTAGGGGTATTTTATGGCGCCTTCCAAATTTTAAAGGGGAAAAATCAATAAAGAGAAAGCCAACAGGTAGAAATCAGCGTGTTGGGTGTGGTATCCTTTCGCCTGACATGACAACTCCAATGTACCCAGCTCTGCCTTTTTGTAAGCATCACCGTTGTACTTAGCTTTTCAGCTCCCAGGCAGCCACCCCACTGCACACCTTTGCCAAGCCTTAAAACATTTTATACAGGGCGACTGATGCACTCAATCTCAACGAGGATATTCGGGGCTATCTGTGCAATCACTATCTATTTTATGGGATATTTACATGTTTATAGCCTTTTCTTTTAAAAGAAGCAGCACCTAATAAAACATTAGGCATTTGAGTGCTACCCCTAGTGGTCTCTGCACAAATAGACATGCTGATCCCATTGCTAATTCCATGAATTAGATCCACAAGAGTGGACCTCAGCGGAAGAGCCTTACAACGCATCATAAGAATCACAGCTAACAACACACACATATTCCTTTGCTTTGCTTTTCCTTACCACCAGTGGACAGATTGCTTCCTTGGTTGATAGGCGAGACCATTGTGGCTGGTTCGCTGGAAGAGCCCTTATTCCCTTCATTGAGTAAGGATGAGCTGGAGTCTGACTCCAAGGACTGACAAGAAGGGGGATCGTGGGACACAGTCTCAGACGCCGGATAGTCATATTTGCTGAAATTGCCGCTCATTCCATTGGGAATCCCAGGTTCAAGTGGCATCAAAGCATTGTCCCTGACCCTTTCCTCCCTCTTGAGGCTGGCAGTCTCGGAGCAAGCCTCCCTGTAGTAGCATTTGCTCTCCTCCACTCTAGCTAGGTCGCACGCTCTGCTGAAAGAAGGGTTAATGGACACGGGGCTGCTGAGATAGGGCTGTGGGTATCCGTTGCAGGGCTCTGAGGATGCCCAGGGCAAAGAACAAACATTGTCCCTTCTCGGGTAGGAGAGAGACGGCAAGCCAGGCAGCTGTCCTCCGGAAGCTCTGAAATTGGGGAAGTAGAAGGTGTCTCCCGTGTGGATGTTCACCAAAGGTCCCACAAACCCAGGATTAAGGAGATTATGCTCGCCCATTTCCGCGGGCCTGACCAAGAGCTTCTAGTTTATTGCTATCTGACATTAAACATAGTTAAACCTAAAGGTCCACCCCATTGGTCGGAGCGGGGTCACGTGGGCGCCAACTCGCGTTGGAGATAGGTGCCACCCACCCTTGGCAGTCGGAGGCAAAACAAAACATTAAGTTCTGCCTTTCGTTTTTATACGCTTTTTTTTTAAAGAAAAAAATAATCATAAAACATTTTATAAAATAAAGCAACGGGTTTAAGCACTGGCCTGAGAAACCCCACGTACTGTAAAAATGTACATAGACATCATATCAAGATATATAAACGACACCCTTCCCCCAGCTGTAGTTAGGGTCCCTCCAACAGCTGGCAAAATTAAGCAATTTTCTCATTAATTAGCCCCTTTATTAAGTAAAACCGTTGAAATTTACAATATCTCCCAATAAATTACTATTAGATATTGTGTCATATAAAGTTTACGGGCTCTTTAAGGAGACGAATGATTGGAACCGCAACAGGGTCATATTTACAGTTGATGGGATGAAAGAGTTTTAACATATTTGCAGCCCCTTAGATATTTTACAGGTTTATCTGGAGCACTAGGAATGTTTCCTGCCCGGCATTCTGTACCGGGGAAAGGCGAGTTCCATCCCTGCTAGGGACAATCCTAAATTCAGGAATTACAAGCCTATAACTTCATCAATCCCCACTCGCTTTTGTTAATGATCCCTGCCGAATAGGCAAGACAAAAGAGGAAGAGGAAAATATCGCTCTTCCTCTGCCTTCATTCCTGTAAAGAAAACTTCTTTACCGACAACTCCCACCGGCGCTCAGTAAATACAGAAATACACGAAAAAAAAAAGAAATCCGGTTCTTAGCCCTCTTATAACGATATGTTGTGTATTCGTGACAACTAGGGTCTTCTTCACTCGGGGATTGCAGAAGAGAGTCGGTTATAGGAAAATGCTGCTGCCAGGAGATGTAAGACAGACATTCTTGGGGTATCCCAGTGCATAATAAATAGATTCGGAAATAAAATATTATTTTAAAAGTCCGTTGTAAGGGACCCCGGACCCAGGAAGAGGCAAAGAGAAGACGCTTTAGAGATCGAGAAGGGGTTGGGGTTGTTTTTTTAAAAGAAAAAATATATATACAGGATTTTTTGATGTCTTTGGAATTTTCCCTGCTAGCAACTTCCAAGCGCAGTGACACCGGAAAACTACCGTAAAATTTCCTGTATAGATAAAAAAGCTTTTAATGAACTAAAGTGGGAGGTGGTAGAAATGTTAAACACATAGGAGTTGAACGGCAGACCCCGAATTTTTGAGATTCTGTGGAGCACAAAACAAGTGTCTTCTATTTGAGCGGCTACTCGAATACAGAGTCATTTCCCCCAGGAAAATATTGAAGCTAAACTGACTTCTCCCAGCTCTGCAGAAAAGTGACGTCTTAATCAAACATCGCATTTTCTTTGATAATTGTATTAAATGGTGAGCTCCAAAAATGTTAAAAAACCACCCTACACATGCCATATATACCCATGTACATATATATATATATAATAGGTGAATATGTGTGCCTATATGTAGCCCCTCACATATACATAGTACACACAGTGATACATTCTGCTACTGGGTTTGTTTGATTGGAATGCAAGTTTAGTACATTTTTCAGCTTTCCAGGAATTATTTTCCAGGTATGGCTAAAAAGCTGCTTGAAATTTTTCCAAGTACAACGTTCTCGATTGAGAACATATTTTGAACGCTTTGCAACTGTGGAAGGTAATCGTTTATACGATGATGAGCATGTGATCTGGGTAGGTTGCCATATGAATCGGCTGTTTTATTTATTTATTTATTTAAAGAAATATCCTTCTTATTTCTTGTCCTTTTTCCGCGAAATTCGCTATGAGGCGGTGCACGTAAGGAACATGGCTTTGTTCTCATTTAGCCGCCGATGCATCTTCAGTCATCCTCTTATCTCTGATTTGAACATTGTGCGGCAACCCCCAATGCAACGTGTCAAAAAGCAGACTATGGTATCCATACTGGGCTTTACCTCGAGTGAATCCAAAACTGCCCGCTAGAATCTCACCTAAGGGAATTTTGTTACTACTGAGATCAGTGCATTCAGAAAAAATTATTTAAAACACTCTGAAAAAACAACAAGGAGTCTGGTGGCACCTTAAAGACTAACAGATTTATTAAAACACTCTGTTAACTCTTCGCCGGACTTCCACATTAGGAAATGAGTTAGCATATATACAGCGGGAAGCATAAATATATTCCCCAATGGCCTTCATTTCGAAACATGAGCAGATTTCTTCATTATATCATTTTGTAGTTGGAGAGTCAACGTCCCTTTTACAGTCATCAGACAGATCAACAGAAAAGAAATACTTAGCGATTATTTATTAAAGCTGTTGTATTTCGACCATAATCTCTTTCCATGAAAGATACATTTTCAGTTAAAAACTAATGACTAAGCTTTTAAAACTCACTCCGACGGCTGTTGCAAAGCAATGTAATTACATAGCGTAGTGCTTAAAATAAAACATTCTAAATACCAGTTTAATATTTCTTAATTATATTACTAATTTAAGAAAGCGACAATCCATTTTACCAAGTTTATCCTAGTCTTCCCTAAGGACACATTGAAGAATTTTCAGATGAAGCCATGATTATTTTATTTTATTTCTACAGTCCTTAAAGAAATAACAATATCAGAACTAACCCCCCCCCCCAAAGCGTTCACAAAGTTGTTTTACCTTTAGTGAGAAATCACTAGGCCTTACCTCTTTAAAATCAACCCCACTGCAGGTAGAGACCTAGACACAAATATTTAATAATTTTCACCACGTTTATTTCCCTTCTTCCTCACACAGAAACTCATCCAAGCAAGGAAGTAGAAAAGGTTCACTTTAATATTACGGCACACGTAATATTAACCTAACTAGAAGTTAGGAATAGCTACTTTGAGAGAGAGAGAGAGAGAGAGAGAGAGAGAGAGAGAGAGAGAGAGAGAGAGAGAGAGAGAG